CCCTTCATCCTTTACAACCACTTTAATGCAGCTCTATACATTATACTTACTTTATCTGCATTAAGTCAGATCTTGATCCAGCACTGTGCCCGTCTGCAGCTGTGCTACTCTTTTGTCCTTTTCTCATAGGAAGCTCGGGCAGCAGCAGCAGGATCCATTGATTCCTGCTGCTTTCAATCAAATCCCATGAGTGGGGGAGCGGCGCAGAGCTGCACTGTCTTCAATAAAAACGCACACTGTGCAGCTCAACATCAAGCTTGCATGAGTTTTCCCACAGTAAGTGGCTTGCTATGAGGGCACTTAGAAGGAGGAGGAACCAGAAGAGGTAGTAGGTAGAACACATTTCTTTTAGAAGAAAAAAAAAAAAAAACTTTTTACAATCACTTTAAATACAACCAACCGTATAAGCTAAAGGTAATTATTTTTTTCATTTTTGATAGAGGACGGGGATTAGAACACGTCAGGTTTTTTTATGTCTGTGACCTCATAAGGGAGATAGACCCTAGTTTTCCTGTTTACTGGTATAAAGTGAAAGATCACAAATATTGGACTTTCCCTGGAGCAGTAATAGACCAGAAATCTTCCAGTGGGCCAAGTAGTTCTGGCAACAACCAGGGATTTCCTCACATTGAAGGGATTTCCTCATTTCCCGTTTTGGCTAATGGGAAAAACGTGAAATTTACCTAATGGGACACAGATGGCAAAAGGAAAGAAAACTGACATGGGTTATAACCCAATTCTACTTTAAGCACCTGAAAGTGACCTGGTATTAGCCTCTTGCAGTCCCTGTACTGCAGAGCTCAAAGTGGGAGAGGCAGAAGCACAAGGAACCATCATTTACACTGCAGTGCTGTTGTGCTAAAAAGGAACATGCAGAAATAAGAAATAAGCAGAGTGACAGATGAACTAATCAGTCTGCTATTTCTCCTTTCACTGTTCAGTCGGTGGGGAGGAACAAGATTCATTAAGTGTTACTCAACTGCAAAAGAAACAATTCTGGTCTCCTGCCTTGCCAGGCAGGACTGTGTTGTGTGGCAGAGCTATGCAAATCCAAGGACTGGACAAACAAATATAAAATTCTTTGTCTGGATAAAAAGTTCATTTATATGTATTTTAATAATTTATCTCTAGTTCAGATTTAATATTAAATCCATTCCTGCAAGCCATAAATATATGGCTGCTTAGAGTCTTATGCCATGCTGACAGATATACATGCATGCAGCTGGCATGTTTTGTGCTGGCAGAACGTCCAGTCATGGTCCCCCCAGCACTGACTGTGCTGTCACCAACAACTCCCACTCACATAGTGAAGATTGTAAGGCTCCTTTTACACAAGTGTTCTGATCGAGTCCACCTGGCCATTTTGCAGGTGGACCCGATTAGACCCCCCTCATTCTGCTCTATGGAGTGGCAGGTGTAAACAAACTAGTGCCTTTTTACACCTGCCTACCTCCAATTCGATAAAAACAAACTGAAGGAGACCTGGAGGGCAGTTGGATGTATTTGGACAGCCAGTTCATTTACATCTGACTGCCCATAGAGCAGTGCAGGCTGTGTCCCTGTCCGCTCTGCATAAGCGGAGCAGAAATGGACCTGTCATCGGTCCGCTCAACTGGGTTTGAGCAAGTGGAGTCTGCCCCATGTGAAAGGGGCCTAAGCCTGTCAGACGGACTCTTAATCAAATCAACACAGTTACAGACAATCAGTAATCACATGATTTGGAGCTTTTACTACCGACAAGAACATACCTCTAAAGGAGCAGCTTCCACCAACATCAATAAACACCCTCCATCAACAATAAATACTATATACTCTAATTCTGACTCCAAATTAAGAACACTAGAGCAAAATTGGAGCCGTTGCTCATAACTCAGGTTTCACTAATTGATCTGCTATTGTTAAAAGAAGAATAAACCCATCAATTTAACAGTTTCAAAAATTGTTACGCACTCCTGTTGCAGTGAATGTAACTATCACATTTGCTTGTACTCTCAACCAAAAAACTGTCAAACCATCAGATAGCTGGTGTCATAACTGATCACGTGTGCAGCATCATGGCAGTTAAAGATCAAACAGAGGCCAAGATAGTAGCTTCTTTGGCTTAAAGGGATAGGAGTAGGGATGCACTGAAATTTCGGCCACGGAAACATATTGGCCGAAAATAGCTCTATTGGCAATGCCAATACAGGAGACTGTGTGTACTGCAGATGAAGGGTGGGGGGGGGGGGGGGGGGGGGGGGGTAAGGCAGGTGAGGAGCAGTGTACACAGTGACTGGCTGTCACTATATGTCAGTGCCAGTTTTTTTTTCCCCAGGTTTTTTCTCTTCACTATAAGCTTGGAGAATCAGCTGTCACTTTCCCCAAGCTAAAAGAATCAAAGTTTATTTTTAGTTTCTTTCCCGAGTCAAAAGACATTTCAGTTTTCGGCCACATACATTCTGAATTTTCAGTATCGGTACCAGAATTTTCATTTCGGTGCACCACTAGATAGGAGGGTTTGGTTCCACTTTAAAAGCTCTATAACTAAAGAAAATTGACACCCACCAGATGTACAAAGAACAGACAGAAGCAACAGCTTTCTCAAAAACATACATCATATTTCCTCTTTTATTATATAAATATCCGTTTAACCTTTTAACTGTAAGAATATAAAGCGTTTTCGAAGGATCTTTTTCTTTGTACAAATTCACAGACAGTACAATGAAATTCGGCACGTTTCTAGGTGAGATCCAACTGTGGAGATGCTCAGGAAAAAAAAGGGGGGACAAAGTTCATTTCAACAAAATAACAAAAAAAAATCTCAAGAAAAGTCCATGTGTGAATTCAATTCAAACTCTCAAACAAGCTGAATGAGTTTTGTGATCCACAGAACAAAGAGTGAGTACATAATTCAACCCCAATCTGTTATGACCAAGGATTGTGCTCCCACTAATACAAAATGCCTAAAAAAAAAAAAAAAAAAAATCAAATAAAAAGGTGCACTCATGTTTTGGGGGATAAGGATCAAATACAGTCTCATGTTTGCATATATAATTTGACTATTGTCAACAGCAAGGAACTAGGCTTTGCACCATCTCCAGCAGCAAGAGTTGAGAAAGGCTTGCACTTCCATTCTAAAACTGAAATCTTTAACTGGAACAATAACTGTTCAACTTAACTGTCTCCGCTTTTTAAACACTGATCACGCTAAAAGGTTGGATACCAATCTGAGCATGGGAAACACTTTCTTTTTTAAAAACCATATAGAAATATAAAACAGCAGTCATAAACCAGTTTATAAAAAACAGTAGAATACAACAGACTAACTGGGTTTCATCTGATTTAAAAACAGGGCTTATCCAACTCTGCTGGATGGAACACTAGTAAGTTGCTATGTGCAAGAGGGCTGGCAGGGAATGAGTGGGTTAAATTAAGGGCCAACCTCATTAGTCTAGGCAAGAGTGGGCTTTTGAATTCTGGATCATTGTTGAGAAAGACTTGTTCTCACAAGGGCAAGGAGTAAAGGGAGAGCAGGTATGTTTAAAAAGAAAAAAGTTATTGAAGAACCCGTAAAATGGGATATTTTTCCAGTCTAGGCACAAAAAATAAAAATACTTTCCAGGGCACAAAAAAGGTAAAAACGAGGTAGCCAGTCATATGGAATATATTTACGTAAAATAAAGTGAGATAAGAAATGTGGAAATAAAAATGTTTTATGGCAGAATCCTGTAACTAATAATACCAGTAAGCAATATCAGCCATGTTACAGGGGAATGTTTCGGTAGTTATGTACTGGAAAGTTAACACAACCTACAAAACACAAAACAAAAAAAAAAAATTAAAAAAAAAAAAAAAAATCAGGAAATGTTACTGGTGCAGCTCCCATTAACCCTTCCGTTGCTAGAGAACTAAATTGATGACAAGACCGTCAGCATGGGTTAACCACTTCACCCTAAACCCTGTCATTAGCTGGTAAGGGCAACTCTGAGGCAATGCCAACTGTTTGCCAGCAAACTGCAAGCCCCAGGGTGCCCTGTCAAGAAATTAAACAAAAAGGACATCTCAAAAGTTGAGACTGTCCATGTCTTAATAGCAGCATTAAGGGGCTTGTACTTCTGCAGCCTATATACCAACCTAATTCACAAAAAAATACTGCTGCTTGAAATTTTTTTTTTTTTAAAAAAAGCTCCCTGCAAAAGAAGCCTCTTATGCCTTTAAGGTACGTGATTTTTAACTTTACTGTTTTTCAGAGCTACAGCTTCCAACAAAATCTTCAGCATATCACACTTTCTGGTATGCAGGATTCCTGCACGATGTGCACAGTGGGTTCATCCACTGGGCACTACTGTTGGTTTTAGTAATGTATGGACCAGCAGATCAACTGGCAGAGCGCAGCAGGGAGCCATGCATCCAATAAACACGGTGTGGCAAATTCTTAAGATGCTGACACATTAACTGGTCAGTTTTAAGGGATTTCATTTTTTTTTTCCCAGCAAGACGCTTTAAAAACAGTGAAGGCACTAAATATAATATACATAACTTTGAAAAAATAGTATTGCCCATCATCTGCCAAAACACATCTGTTACCTTGGGTGCATTCTCGGTTTTTATAGATTTCAACCAAATATGGTGTTATTCTAATTAGAAAGGCCCCGGCACTGCTTTTCCACATAGCACAGGTCACTGAGACTTGCAGTTCCCTAGCACTGAAAACCCTACATGAACCATACTTGATTTTAACTACAGTGATATGCCAGCCACAATGGCAGTGGCTAACCCATGCTGTCAAAGAACCCAGGGAGAGTCTTGTGTTACCCATTTTTTATACCGTGGTGGAAACGGTAACAACTCCTCTGATCATCATTTCTACTGCCACAAGGGACCTGTTGCCACTTCCCTGTAGCACTAGCCACGGCCCGTTCTACTTTTCCTCTCACGTGACCCTACAGGCAGTATGACACATCCAGTCCTACAGTCACTTCCATAGAGGACGCAGGCCAGGGATGAGGTGGGAGAAGCCCTCACCTGACCTTCTCACTCTCAGTCATCTGCCAGAGCCCCAGGTTGAGCACTTTGAGGCAGGGCAATTGCGTGATCCTCTCCAGCCCCTTCTTGGTGATGCGGGTGCAGCCGTACAAGTCGATGCCGGTCAGCTGGCTCAGGTGCTCGGCGATGAGCTCCAGTCCCTTGTCTGTGATGCGCACGCACTGGCCGATGTTGAGGGTCCTCAGACTGTGCATCTGACGCACCATGCGGTTAATGCCATCGTCGCTGATGTGGCAGGAGCACAGCGACAGTGACTTGAGCCCGTACAGGCCCTGGGCGATGTAGGCTAGGCTCTGGTCGCCCACCTTGTCGCAGAACGAGACATCCAGACCCGAGAGTCGCAGGCTGCCCATGGCCAGGTGCATGATGCCCGTGTCACTGATGTTGTCGCAACTGCGCAGGTTGAGGCTACGCAGGCCACCCATGTGGGAGAGGTGCAGGAGCCCAGCATCAGAGATACCGCCACAGAAGCTGAGGTTGAGCACGCGCAGGCCCTGGAGACCCCGGGAGATGTGCTTGAGGGCCAGGTCGGTGAGCTTCTGGCAGTCTTGCAGGGTGAGCTGCTCCAGACCCAGGCAGCCCTCGGCGGCGCTGCGGGTCATGCCAGCCAGGTGGCCGATCCCCACATCGGAAACATGACGACAGCTGCGCAGGTTGAGGCTTTTCAGGCCGTGCAGCCCCCAGGCAATGAGTAGCAGGCCGGTGTTGGTGATGTTCGAGCAGCCCCCCAACTCCAGCACCTCCAGCCGCTTCAGGTACTGGGCGATGCGGCCCAAGCTGCTGTCAGTGATCTGCTTGCACAGGCTGAGGTTGAGGCAGCGCAGGGAGCCGATCTCCTGCACGAAGGCGTGGCCCAGGCCGTTGTCGGTCAGGTTGTAGCAGCCGCTCAGGTTCAGGCTCTCAATGTCCGGCAGGCCCTGGATGACGTAGCTGAGCGAGCGGCGCAGGCTGAGGATCTGCACCCGGCGGATTCCGCGGGCCTGCAGGCTGGGGAAGAGTGACGGGTTGGCCCGGCGGAGGTGCAGCTTGGCCTCGGTGCCCCGCCACACAGACTTGTGATAGGCCGCGTCCCGCCAGGCGCCGCACACCTGAGCCGCCCGGCCTTTGTCACGCACGTCCAGGTAGCTGAAGATCATGGCCAGGAGCTCGGGGAACAGGCACGAGATGTGGGTCTCCTCCATGCTCAGCGCGGGTCCGGCATCACCCCCCACCCGCGGCTAGGCCCGAGGCCTGTTGGCGGCTTGCCTGAGGTAAAGGGATAACGGCGGCGACTTCCTCCTCTGTCGCCTCAGCCTGGGCCCGCTATCCGAATCATCGTCGGCCCGGCCGCTCTCGTTCTTGTATTTCGCAGTCCCTCGCAAGACTTTGCCGGACCGGAGCGCCTTCTCTCCCCCCTCAGAGTCCGTTAGCACGCGCCGTGCGCGACACTGCTATCGACGTGCTCGCCGCCGCGACACGGAGAAGGGGTGGTGGAAGCGCTACTGAGCGCGCTCCCGCATCCTCTCTGGTGCGTGCGGCCGCTCAGTCTGCGCAGGCGCGCGTCTACCTGAAATTAAAAATAAAAACATATATATATAGAGAGAGGCTCAAGCGTTAGAGTCCGGCCGCCGACTCGTATTCTCGCCTCTGCCAGCCGTCACCTTTCCGAAGCAGATTTTTTTTTTTTCTAATTCTGGAGTCTGACTTTGGTTGCCACGCGACGACGTGCGCGCACCTTAGGCTTTTTATTTTTTATTTATTGTTGATCGGACTGCGCAGGCGCGAAAGTGCGACTGGTCTTGGAGTTTGTGAGGGAGGGCGAGTGGGAGGAGTCCCAGGGCTTCCTTTGTCTCCCGCGCAGTAGTAGCTGGGGGCTCTCGGCGGTTGCCAGGGAGACGGCCCCTCCTCCTCTTTCCTTCCTGTTTAACCCTGTGTAGTGACAGATGCGTGTGGATAAGATGGCTGTACTTTTGCTGCCTGTAGGAAAGTGTTGTGAGGTGTTACCTCAGGGAGAAGAGTCTGGTGACACCATTGTGTCATGACAGCGGCCCTTTTCATGTGTCTTTTTTATTATTTTAACCACTTGCTTACCGGGCACTTATACCCCCTTCCTGCCCAGGCCAATTTCCAGCTTTCAGCGCTCTTGCACTTTGACAATTGTGTGGTCATGCAACACTGTACCCATATGAAATTTTTATTATTTTATTGAGACAGAGCTTTATTTTGGTGGTATTTAATCACCTCTGGGTTTTTTTTTTTTTTTTCTTAAACCAAAAACCACTAAAAAAAAATTTTTTTTAAAGTTTTTTCTTAGGTTTTGTTATAAAATTTTGTAAATAAGTGATTTTTCTCCTTCACTGATGTGTGCTAATGAGCCTGCACTGATGGGCACTGATAGGCTGCACTGATGAACACATAGGAGGAGGCACTGGTAGGTGGCACTGATGGGCATTGGCAGGCATCACTGGTGGGCACTGAAAGGCAGCACTCAAATATGGCACTGATAGGTGGCACTGACTGGCACTGATGCACACTGATAGGCTGCACTGACTGGCACTGATAGGTGACACTGATTGGCAGTACTGATAGGTGGCACTGACTGGCATTGATAGGTGGCACTGATGGGTGACACTGAAAGGCAGCTCAGATGGGCACTGATATGTGGCATTGATGTGCACTGGTAGGCACTGATATGTGGCACTGATGGGCACTGGCAGGTGGCATGGATGAGCACTGACAGCTGGCACTGATGGTCACTGACAGATGGCACTGCTGGGGCTACACAGATCATCAGGGCACACTGATCATCAGTGCCCTGATGATCAGTGTACATGTCCCCTCTGAGGAATGCCGATTATTACCAGCTCAGCTCTCCTCTCGAGCTGTCAGCGTGACAGCTCGTGAGGAGAGAAATGCAGATAACTGGCATTTCCCTATTTACATGCAATCAGTTGTGATTGGACACAGCTGATCACATGACCGAGCCGACATCTTTGGCACTTTCCGTTGAGCGGTGATCCGCTGTGTCCGAGGGACACAGCGCACCACCAATCACCGTGCTGCTTGCTCCCGGAGCCGCGCATGCGCGGTTAGAATGGGAGGACGTCATTTGACATCCTCCCAGAATGAGAGAACTGCCTTGCGCCTGTCATTACACTATATGGCGGGCAGGAGGCGGTTAAATTAATGGCAGTTGTTCTGTTACTAAATTGAGCCAATCATTTGTCAGGCTTGAGGCAAGCACCTGGCAAATCTTTGTAGTAATAAAAATCTGGCTGTGAATTCGCCGGGCAGGAAAAGCGCCTTTTTCCCAAAACATTTACTTTTTAAGTGGTTTCTGGAACATTTGCTAAATTTATAATAATAATTACAATGTTACAGCTGCCAACCTTGATCTGTTTTTACATCAGCCATTGGTTCCTGCGTGTTCCAGCTACTTGTTCACGTTCACCTCCTATTGGTCAGCTGAAGTCCCATTTGCCCTGTTTCTTCAGCAGCCTCAGGGCATAGCATAGTAGTCAGCGCTATAAAGAGTATGGTCTCATCTATACAGGCGCACTAGGCAGCACAATGTTTTACCGCACTTAGCAGTGTAAACAAAAAAAAAAGCTGCGCGCAGCGCTCTATGTAAACCTTGGTGCTAACGTTTGCATGCGTACACTGTACATGGACCCTGCTGGCTGAACCCGCTGTTGTCTGGGGCACACATAATGCATAGGCCGTGCAACTGATTACCCACTTTACCTCTGGAAGATTTTACCCCCTTCATGACCAGGCCATTATTTGCTATGCTACTTTAACTGGTAATTGCGCATCATGTGCAACCCTGTATCCAAACAAAATTTATATCATTTTTTTTCACACAAATAGTTTTCTTTTGATGGTATTTGATCACCACTGGTCTTTTCTCTAATATTTGCAATATAAACGACAAAAGACCAACAATTAAAAAAAAAAATTTTTTTTTTTTCTACTTTAAAACATTTCCAATGAAAATTGGAAAAAAAAAATAAATTCTTTTCATAAATTTTTGCCAAAATGTATTCTGCTACATGTCTTTGATAAAAAAATCCCAATAAGTGTATATTAATTGGTTTGCGTAAAAGTTATAGCATCTACAGCTATGGCATATATACTGGAATTTTTATACTACTACTGGCGGTGATCAGCAACCTTTAATGGGAATGCGATAATGCAGCAGGCACTAACTGAAGCTGGGGACGGGGGAGGGACTGACAGTCACTGATATCACCAGTGACACTAGTACGGTGATCAGTGCTAATAATATACTCAACACTGTCACTGTACTAATGACACTGGCTGGGAAGGGGTTAACATCTAAGCGATCAGAGGGTTACATGTGTGCCTAACTGTGTAATGTGTGTATTATGTGCTGCTTTTACTAATTTATCTCTTTGTTTCTTATCCCTGCTTTGTTTTGCAGGCATGAGAAACAGCGAGATCATTCCCTCTGTACAGAGCCCTGTATTGAATGTCAAAACAGGACTCTGGGCTGTGATTGTATACAGCTGATCAGCAGGTCCCAGCCATGAATCATTGCACAATCACAGCAGGTGTCGGCAGGGACCCACACATGCGCATGCCCTAAACCCAGAAGCAGGCAGAGATGTACCAGTGGTTATACATGTTTACATGTTGGCCATGAATGACTCATTAACCGCATTCCCGCCGCCCTATAGCAGATATACTGCTACAGGGTGGCAAGGGTGCACAAAATTAAATTTTTTTAGAAAAGACATGTTGCACAATACATTTTGGCCTACATTTATGATGAAATTTGATTTTTTAAATTTTTTTTACTGAACATGTTTCACCACTTGCCCTCCTGAGGATTTACCCCCTTCCTGACCAGGACACTTTTTGTATTATGGCACTGCATTATTTTAACTGTCAATTGCGCGGTCATGCAACATTGCACCCTAATGAAATGTACATCCTTTTTTGCCCACAAATTTAGCTTTCTTTTGGTGGTATTTGATTGCCTGTGCATTTTTTTATTTTTTGCTCTATAAAAAAAAAAGTAAAGGCCAACAATTTTGAGAAAAAAACAATATTTTTTGACTAGTGGTGCACCGAAATGAAAATTCTGGTGCCGAAACTGATACCGAAAATTCACAATGCATATGGCCGAAAACCAAACCAAAACCGAAATGTCTGCGTATGTGGGGATGGGGAGGCTCCAATTTTTTTTTTTGGATTTTTTTTCTGCTTTCGTGTATATTTTATTTTATTTTTTTAACCTATGATTTTATTGCTATCACATAGGGGACCAATAGTCCCCTATGTGATAGCATATGAGTGACAGGTCCTCTTTGTAGGTGGGAGGGGGTGGGGGGCAGTGTGTGCAAGGAGGGGGCAGGAGAGGAGCAGTGTATACAGTGAGGGAGCAGAGTATACAGAGAGGCTCCCTCATTGGCTGTCACTATATGTTGGTGCCGATTTTTAAATGCAATTGCCAGCTTTTTTTTTTTGTCCACTATAGCTCACAGAATTAACTATCACTTTCCCCGGAGCGAAAGGAAACTTTGTTTTTTTATCTCGGGAAAGAAACTAAAAGGAAAATTTGTTTCTTTTATTTCGTTAAACAAACTAAAAGGAAACTGTTTCTGTGAACTATAGTGAAAAAAAAAAAAAGCTGGTAATTACATTTAAAAACCAGCACTGACCTATAGTGACAGTCAGTCACTGTATACACTGTTCCTCTCCTGCCTTTCTCAGCTGCCCCCCCCCCTCACACCTGCAGTACACATAGTCTCCTGCATTGGCACCTGTATCGGCTAAATTTTTTGTATCGGCTACATTTTTTGTATCGGCAAAATGCCGATAGGACTTTTTTTGGTCGAAATTTCGGTGCATCCCTAGTCAATACCATGTGTTTATGCAGCATTTATTTAGCATTTTTAAATCCTCATAACCGCCCTTCTATGCCTGCCACTAATGTTACAATGGCACCACACACTTCTCACAGGAACAGTAGCGTTGTGTTAAACATTAAACAGAATGTCTCTTTCATTGACGCCTGTCAGCTGCCTCTATTGATTACAATGGTAATGTCTTCTAACCACACCTGAGCAGCACCTAGAGCATGTATTTAGCAAAGCATTTATGAAGCAGTGTTAGCTGGGCATTGGAGGAGAGGCAGTGGAGGTTCCTGTATCCCAGAATGCACTGGGAAATAATAGAGAACTAGGACAGAGTGGTTCCAGTCATTCCCGGCTGTACAGAGAAGCCGTATGATAACATTTGTTTCAGCAAAATTGAGCTGAACCAAGCCAAGTGTCAGATTAAAGTATACAAATCCATTTTACAGAAAATTCATAAAAATACTATTACAGCACAACCTACCTACACCTCAGATTTGATGGTTTCCTCTACAACATTTTCCCCTTTAAAGGCAAGGCTTCCATGGGCAATTACCAAGCCTTCTTGAAGTTTTTTCAATGCTTCATAAACACAACAAAAAAAGTCATAAAAACATCATAAATACTTTGTTCTTCATAATCACCACACGTATGAACGAGCCCTTATTTTCAGCAAATGTATAACAGCGAATGCTCATTCTCTGACCACAATCTGTGTAGTTTACATCAGCCATTAATTCCTGCCATGCTTGTTCCGCTCACACGTATGCATAGCTCCCAACTGTTCCTGATTTCGAGGGACTGTCCCTCATTTGTAATAAAGTTCCTCTGTCCCTCTTTCCTCCTCATTTGTCCTTCATTTTGGTCTGATCTATATAGTTTTATATAAAACAAACTACTTATTAATCATAACGTGTTTTACAGTGCTAAACCTTTCATCCACTTTCTAAATTATTGTATTTGTACATTTCAAAAGCCAATATAAAGGAATAGTAGTGGTAAAAAAAAGCACTTGTGGGTTTATTCAATATTTTTTTTTTTTGTACATTTCTCCTTTACCCAGTAGCAGAAATACTGCTACTGGGCGGCAAGGGCGTATATATGTGATATATGTGATTTTGCATTTCTGGGAAGGGGCGTTTGCCCTACCCACGCCGCCATTTGTGGCCTCGGCTGTCAATCAACAGGTCCCGACCAGTGATTTCTCGCTAGCACCTGGTGATTGCTGAGTATCTCCAACAGGGGAGAGACCTGTGTATAAACAACACAGATCTCTCCCCTGTCAGCTGCTGCACATTGCTTTGTATGGCTCTGCATAGCGGAGCCATACAAAGCAGTGTGCTTACAGTGGAAAGCACATACACAGTTAACCCTTTGATCGCCCCACAAGTTAACCCCTTCCTGCCCAGTGCCATTAGTACAGTGTCACTGCTTTTTATTAGCACTGATCACTGTATTGATGTCACTGGGGATGCCATTGACACCAAGTCAGTTCCCCCCAGTATCAGAATGCCCCATCATTAGTGTCAGTGTGTGAGGAATAGTGCCCCATCATTGGTATCAGTGGGAGGAATAGTACTCCATCATTGGGGGGCAATGGGACGGCGGAGGGAAGTAGAACAGGTGGGGGGTAGTGTATCGGAGGGACAGTGAAACAGGAGTTTGGAAGCACCAGTTCTCCAAGCACTTACCTGTCCAGCAGCGGCTCCTCCAGATGGTGTCAGGATCATTGCAGGACGGGTGCCTGTGTCCCTTCTCCCCCAGGATCTCCGGCGGCGGCGGCTGGCTGCTGCAAAAGAGCGGGCGGGCTCCTTCTCCCTGACCTCGTCCTCTTCTTCCTCCTCCGCGGCACCTTCTGGCCTTCCTGCACATCCCGGCACACTGACGGGCCCCGCCCCTCACACGCTCCGAGCGCACACCGGGGATCTGCCCACAACTCCACTCTCCTCTGCAGCCGGTCCCTTGGCCCGGGTGGCAGTCCTTGTTGTACCCTCAGCCATGGCGGCCCTGCCCCTTCCCTTTCCCCATGGAAGTGTCCCTTCCGTGTGAAAGGGGGGGGGAACGGCACTGCCGCCGTGCCGTCCCCCTGAAAAGTTCCACCCTAGGCAACTGCCTA